CCAGCCAGTCTCGCCCAGCCTCTGGGGCTCCCTTCTAGGAGCCTGGCTGTGGGCATAGAGCCCTGGGGTGTCCACCGGGGTGAGCAAGCCCCACGTCCGGCCTGCCAGTCCCAGCAGGGCTTGTGCATGCAGCCCCCAGGCCTGTACGGAGCGCTCGGCCCCCCTGCGCGAACCATGGGCCGGGTGGAGCACGCGCGTCTGAAACAGCCAGTCACCCACCAGTGCCAGCAGACCTCTGGCCCGGGGGGCGGGAAGCCAGCCAGCCCCCCATGCCATGCGATAGGCACCTCGGCAAACCAGCGACAGCTGGAGAGGGAGAAGAGAGCTGACCCAGGCTGTCCCCTGAGCAGATGTCACACTCAGGTCACGTGTGGTTTGAGACCAACAGACCCCTCCACCCCCCCAGGCAGAGCAGCCCCAGACTTGCTGCCCGTGGGGCGGGAAGCCAGCCAGCCCCCCATGCCATGCGATAGGCACCTCGGCAAACCAGCGACAGCTGGAGAGGGAGAAGAGAGCTGACCCAGGCTGTCCCCTGAGCAGATGTCACACTCAGGTCACGTGTGGTTTGAGACCAACAGACCCCTCCACCCCCCCAGGCAGAGCAGCCCCAGACTTGCTGCCGGACACCCTCTCTCCAGGCGACTTCTGATCCTCCGGCTTGAATCGGGTGGCAGCAGGCACGGCCAAGAGAAGCCTGGACTCCTGAGTTCTAGTCATTCCTGTGTGACCTTGAGCCAGGCATAGCGCCGCTCCGTGCCTCGGTTTCCCCATGCATACTCCCCCGCCTTCCCCACACGCTCAGATGCAGGCAGAGCGTAAAGGCAGCGCAGCAGCCGCCTCTGGGGCTTGTAGCGCTGCGCCGGAGAATAACCCGCTCTCTCCCCTCTGCTCCCTGCTGCAGTTCCAGCAAACCTCGGAGCACGCGCTCTTCTCCTGCTCCGTGGTGGACGTCTTCTCCCAGCTCAACCAGAGCTTTGAGATCATCAAGAAGCTGGAGTGCCCTGACCCGCAGATCGTCGGGCACTACATGCGGAGGTTTGCCAAGGTAGGGGGCCCCCGGGGCCGGGGAACCGTCTGGGCCCAACATGGCCCTGCCACAGCCACCCCGTCCTACGCTGCCGGGAGCCTCACTCCAGAACGGCTGGGGCTAACCACGCTGCCTCCCGTCCGGTCGTCCGTGCGCCCAAGTGCTGCGTGGGTGGGGATGGCACTAACCCGGCTGGAGCCCGAGGGGTGCCCCGGCCCTGCCGTGCCCCGGTGGGGCAGAAGGGAAGGGGGAGGACTGGGCTGCGTTGTACACAAAGGGGATTCTGGCCCTGGCAGACCCTGTGATCTCGCTCCCGGATTAGTGAAGTGCTGCAGGTTTGCGATGGGCAGAGCAGGGACTTCAGCGCGGGAGGCTCAGCCTGGACCAAAGAGCTGTGCCGTGCACTCCTGTCCGGGCCCCCAGGGGCAGCCACGGGGCCCGGAGGCGTGGGGGCTGGGGAGGAACACGGCTGGAGAACGTGCCTCCTGCCACACCGGAGTCCAGCTCCTAGGCGGGGGGAGGGCACGGGGCGGGGTTT